GAATTGTTACGTCAGCACGCCAGCGTTCTCGGAAATTACATCTTTGACGGAAACCAGTTATATATCGCCCGGCTTCTTCCTCAGGATGTGAGTGGGGTGGGGGGGGTGGGGGGGGGGGGGGGGTTGGGGGGGGGTTGGTTGGTGGGGGGTGTTGGTGGTTGGTTGGTGGGGGGGTGGGGGTGTTGATGGTGGTGATTGTTGTTGTTGGTGATTGTCTTTGGTGGGGATTGTTGTTCGTGGTGTTGGTGGTTGGTTGGTGGGGGGGTGGGGGTGTTGATGGTGGTGATTGTTGTTGTTGGTGATTGTCTTTGGTGGGGGGGGTTGTTCGTGGTGTTGATGGCAATCATGATTTTGAAAGTGATGATGATGGTGACTGCTGTTGGTGATGTTTTTGATGTTGGTGGAGATGGTGATTTTGATGGTGGAGATTATGGGTGGTGGAGATGGTAATCGTGATGGTGGTTTGGATTGTGAGTGATGGTGATTGTGTTGATAATGAAGGTGGTGACGGTGATTGTGAGTGAGGTGATTGGTGGTGATGGTGATTCTTGACGGTGAAAATGGTGATTATGATGGTGGAAATGGTTACTGGGATGGTGGTTATGGAGGCGATGGTGATTTTGATGGTGATTATCATGGTAGTTTTTATGGTAATAGAGATATTTATCCTGGTGGTGATGCTGATGGTGATAGTGGTGGTGATGGTGAATGTAATGGTTATGGTGATGTTGATGGTGATGGTGAATGTAATGGTTATGGTGATGTTGATAGTGATGGTGATGATGATGATGGCGATGATGGTGATAATGGTGATGGTAATGATTATGGTGATGGCAAAGGTGATGGTGATGTTGATCGCGATGATGGTGATAATGGTGGTGATGGTGATGGGGATGGTGATATTGATGGTGATACTGATAATAATTGTAATGTTGGTAATAATTCCTCTTTATCATCACTTTTCTTCTTATTCTGCATCTTTTCCCCTTCTTTCCTTTACTTTTTTTCTTCATCTTTGCCTTTCCATCTTCCTACTGTTGTTTCTTCTTTCTTTTCTTCTGTCCTTTTTATCTTCGTCCTCTTCCTTAACCGTCTTCGTTTGCCATTTATCTTGTCCTTGTTTTTATTTCTTCCCGTCTTTCATCTTTCTAACCTTCCTTAATTTCTCTATCTTATTTTCGTTCTCCTTACCTTTCTTCTTTTTTTCTGTCTTCCTTTATCATCTTTCTTATCGTTTTTCATTCTCCTTTCCTTTCTTCTTTCTGCCTTTCCTCCTTTTCTTTATTTTTTTCTTTCTTTTCCTTCGCTGTCCTTTTTCCCCTCTTCCTGCCTTTTGCCATTTTTATTTTTTGTTTTTCTTTCGCCTTTCCTCTCTTCTTCCTTCTTTTTCTCTCTTTCTCTTTCTTCTGTCTATTCTTTATTCCATTCTTTTTTTTCTCATTTTTGGGTTTTGTCTTGTTTTTTCTTTTTCTCTCTTCTTTCTTCCCTTCCCTTCTTTCTCCATTTTATGTCTTGTTTTTTTCTTTCTCATTTACTCTCTTTCCTTTCAGTCCTTTCTTCCATTCTCCATCTATTCTCTTCCTTCTCCTTTCATACCTTTTCATATTCTTTTTTCCCATTCCTCCCCCTCACTTCTTTCTTTTATCTGTCTATTCTTTTCATTATATCCATTTCTTCCTTTCTCCATCTTTTCCCTTCTTTCTCCTTTTCTTTCCTGATCTCCCCCCCTTTCCTTTCTTCTTCCTTTACCCACCTTTTTTTTCTTTCTCCTTTCTCTTCTTATTTCCCTTCTTCCTTTTCCTCCTTTATCCATCTTTACTTTTCTTCCTCCCTTCCTTTCTCTCCTCTTTCCATACCATTCTCTCTCTCTCCCTTCTTTTATCCATCTTTCCTCCTCCTCATTCTGTCTTCCTCCCTTCCTTTCCCTCTTCTTTCCATACCATTCTCTTTCTCCCTTCCTTTATCCATCTTTCCTCCTCCTCATTCTGTCTTCCTCCCTTCCTTTCCCTCTTCTTTCCATACCATTCTCTCTCTCCCTTCCTTTATCCATCTTTCCTCCTCCTCATTCTGTCTTCCTCCCTTCCTTTCCCTCTTCTTTCCATACCATTCTCTCTCTCCCTTCTTTTATCGATCTTCCCTTCCTTTCCCTCTTTCCATACCATTCTCTCTCTCCCTTCCTTTATCCATCTTTCCTCCTCCTCATTCTGTCTTCCTCTCCGCAGCCGCTGGAACTGACATCAAAGCGACCCGATACAGGCAACCCTTATTTGGTCAAGATCCGCTTCATCAAGGAAATACCCGCGTCGGATACCCTGTTTCTGCAGGTGAGTGGGAGAGAGAAGGCGGGAGTTTGGACGGTTGGTGGTAGCGGTGGGATTCTAGGTTTGGAGTGGGAGGGAGGGAAGGGGGAAAGGGAGAGGAGGGGAGGGGGAAAAAGGAGGGAGGGAGGGAAGGGAGAGGAGGAGAGGGAAGGGATGGGAGTGAAGGGAAGGGAAAAGGGGGAAGAGGGAAGGGAGGGGAAGGGGGAAGGGGATGGGAAAGATAGGGGAAGTGAGAGGAAGGGGGAAAGAGAAGGGAGGGAAGGGAGAGGAAAGGGAAAGGGGAGGGGTAGAAGGAGGAAAGGGGGAGGAGCGGGAAAAGGGGATGGGAGGGAAGGAAAAGGAAGGGCGAGAAAAGGGGAAAGGGAGGAGGAGAGGGAAAAGAGAGGAACAGGGAAAGGGAGAGGAGGAGGATGTGGTAGGGGATGGGAGGCAGGGATAGGAAGAGAAAGAAAGAGGAGAGGGGACGGAAAGAAGGGAGAAGAAGTAAGGGAAGAGTGAGAAAGGAAGGAGGCAAGGATGGGAGAGGGGGAGAGGTGATGAAAGAAGGAGAGGAGGGGGGTGTGACAGATGACAGGCAAGGAGAGGAGGGGGGTGTGACAGATGACAGGCAAGGAGAGGAGGGGGGTGTGACAGATGACAGGCAAGGAGAGGAGGGGTGTGTGACAGATGACAAGCAAGGAGAGGAGGGGAAGGAAAGAGGGAAGGGAGAGGAGAAGGTAGAGTAGGAGGGATTGAGGAGATGAAGAAAGGGGGGAAGAGGATGTGAAGCAAGGAGAAGAAGGGAGGGAAGGGAAGATGATGGGAAGGAAGAGAGAAAGGGTGGATAGAGAGATAAATACACAAAGGAAGGGAAGGAGACACTAAAAAGGGAAAAGAAAGAGGCTGGGAGAAAGAAGGAGAGAAAAGAGTGGTTAATAAATGAAAAAAGGGAGTTTTTTCATACTCTTGAGCTGTCAGACGTAAGCTCAGTTTCATCTGTACATTTCAGATCTTCTCCATCTTACTCCGGCGTTGCTATGAATACCTAGGACTGACGCAAGTGGGACGCAATTATTACAACAGCCATGAGGAAGTTCAGAACCAGAAGTACAGGTGGGTACACGGTGGGTAAAGGTGGACAGGTGATGATGAGTAAAGGTAGGTTAGCAATAGGTTGGGAGGAGGTGTGTTTCATCTCTTGAGTCAGGTTTTTTTTTTGTATTTTATTTTTTTCATTATCTCTCTTTCACTCTGTTTACATTTTGCTCTCTCCTTCATTCTCTCTCTCTCTTTTACACTCTCCCTCTTTCTCTCTGTGTTTGCTTTTTACTCCCCCCTTCTCTCTCTCTCTTACACTTGCAGAAGGACAGTTTAAATTTGGACACTTCTTTATTTGCATTTAAGCCTGTAGAAGGGAAAATATCTATAAATATTCTAATACATCAATGCAGACACTGGCGTGGCCACGGGGGGGTATGGGGGGGCAATTGCCCCCCCACTTTTGCCAAAAGATGGTCCTCGAGATTCCTTTAAAATCGAAGAGAAAATGGCGGGGTATAGGTTGGGTAATAATTTTTCCGGCAGCAAAGTTTGTATATATACAATGACAAGCTAATGACAAGCATGATATTAGGAGATGCATTCTAAGCCAAAGTAAAGGGCGTGGCCCCAAAAATTTTCCTGGGGGCTTCACCCCCCGACCCCCTCATTAGTTTGCCCCCCCACTTTATTTACCCTGGCCACGCCGCTGAATGCAGATAGTAAAAACTGGATAATATACTCTTTATCAATCTATTTAAAAGTATATATGTACGTTTCTACATATATCCTTCAATCTCCATCTTATCATAATCTATCCATCTATTTATGAAAAAATAAATAGACAAAAGGAAAGAATCATAATTTGAAAAGAAACTTAGATTTTTACTGATCTTTGATTTATTTTCCTCAGAGTGGCAATTTGGCCCGGAAACGTCTCGAGCATTCGGCAACACGAGAACGGAATCCTCATGGTAACCGATATCATCCACAAGTTCCTCCGCCTGGATACCGTCTACGACATTATGCGAACGATCAGGAACACCCGCCCCGATAGCTTTGTGGGTAGCGGGGTTATTAGTTTTTTTTTTATATCTCGAATTATCTTTGTCATCCCAAGTTGCTCAGATGTTTTATTGTGTTAAAAAAGCGGGGTTATTTGTTGTTGTTTTATATCTCGAATTATCTTTGTCATCCTAAGTTGCTCAGATGTTTTATTGTGTTAAAAAAGCGGGATTATTTGTTGTTGTTTTTTATATCTCGAATTATCTTTGTCATCCTAAGTTGCTCAGATGTTTTATTGTGTTAAAAAAGCGAGGTTATCAGTTGTTGTTTTATATCTCGAATTATCTTTGTCATCCTAAGTTGCTCAGATGTTTTATTGTGTTAAAAAAGCGGGCTTATTACTTTTTTTTTAATCTCGAATTATCTTTGTCATCCTTACTTGCTCAGGTGATTTATCGTGCATTTAAAACTAAGATAATGTTGGTGGTGATATTAGTATTAGTTGCTGGTTCTTGTTCATCATGGAAAGATAAAGACGAGAACGAATTTGGGATTGAACTTCCTAACCCAACACCACAAACACATCACATAATCCAACCTCGAACATGAATAAACACACAAATAAATAAACAAACACTACAACCAACCCACACAAGTACCCGCTTTCCCACAGAGGTTCGTGACGGGGAAACAACTCCTCGGACTCGTAGTGATGACTCGTTATAACCAGCGAACGTACAGAGTCGACGACATTGCCTGGAACCTGACCGCCATTAGCAAATTCTCGTGCCAGGGAGAGGAAATTACGTATCTGGATTACTATGAAAAGGTTGGTTGTTTTCTATTTTCTTGTGAAGGAGATGGGGGATTATATATGTAATTATTGATATTATTAATATTATTATTATCATCATCATCATCATCATTATGATGATTATTATTATTATCATTGTTGTTATTGTTATCATTTTGATGATGATTATTAATATTGTTATTATTATGATTATTATCATTGTCATTAATATTATTGTTTTGTTGTTCCTATTATCATTAGTACCATTACCTATCATTATTACCGTAACTATCATCATCATCATCACCACCATCATCATCATCATCATCATCATCATCATCATCATCATCATCATCATCATCATCATCATCATCATCATCATCATCATCATCACCACCACCACCATCATCATCATCATCATCATCATCATCATTAACCCTCCCCTCCCCCCTCCCTCAAAAAAAAAAAAAAAAAAAAAAAAAAAACGCAAATAAAATGTCGGCCCGTTTCCCCTCAGACGTACCAAGTGAAGATCAAAGACCCGTACCAGCCTCTCCTTCTGTCCAAGCCTCGCAAACGGGACCTTCGGCGCGGGCAGGGCAACATATACCTCATTCCGGAGCTATGCGTGCCCACTGGCCTTTCCGACGACATGCGCAGTGATTATAACCTCATGCGCGATTTCTCGGAATATACGCGCATGAGTCCGGATAAACGTGTGGCGTCGCTGCGTCGGTTCAACAATAGGCTGTTTGAGAACCAGAAGGTCGGTTGTGTGGTTGTGTGGGTGTATGGGTCGGTGTTTTTTTTTTATTTATTGTTTTTTTTGTTTTTTTGTCTTGTTTTTTTGTCTTTTGTTCTATTTTTTTGGTCTCATTTCTTTTTATGTTGTTCTATTTTTTTGTTTTGTTTTGTTTTTTGTTAATTCTTTTAATGGTTTACTTCGATTTCTTTTCTTTTCTTCTTTTCTTTTCTGTCTGTTTTTGTTCTATATTTTATCCTTTTATTCTATGTGGTTGTTCTGAATTTACTTCTTTTTCCTTTGTGTTGGTTATTCCTTATTTTTCTTGTTTGTTCTTGTGTTTTGACTTTTTTTTTTTCTTCTAGTATTTATATTCCTCTCTCCTTGCTTTATATTTCTTTTTTTTCTCTTTCTTATTTATTTCTCTCTTTTTCTTAATTTTGTCTACCGTTTTTATTTTTATTTTTTTGTCTTTCTTTTCTTTTTTGTTTTCGTTCTTCTTCGGTTAATTATCAGTGTCATTAGGCATCGTTTATGTTTGCCTTTTTTATAACAAATGAGAAACAGACACACACACACACACACACACACACACACACACACACACACACACACACACACACACACACACACACACACACACACACACACACACACACACATACACACACACACAGACTGACTAGAAAAGAAAACATAAAAGAGAAAAAAAAAACGTAAAAGAGACAAATAAAAACACACACACAAACAGGGTCTTGTTAAAAAAACACACACGCAAACAGAGACACACACACACACAAAGCCAAACGCAGACAGAGGTATACACAAGTACAAACACACAGACCGACAGACAGAGACCGAAACAGACACACAACTATACAGAAGAAAGAAAACGGGGGAGAAAAAGAAAACGTAAAAGAGAAAGAAAACGTAATAGAGAAAGAAAACGTGAGAGAGCAAATAAACATAAAGAAACAAAAAAAGAAAACATAACAGTAAAAGAAAACGTAAAAGAGAAAGGAAACATAACAGTATAAGAAAACGTAATAGAGAAAGGAAACATAACGTAAACCAACCAAAAAAGAAAACGCAACAAAGAAAGAAAACGTAAAGGTGAGAAAAAAAGTAGGACAAACTCGCCCATATACACAACCAACGCCCCTTCACCTCTCCCTCCCCTCCCTCCCCATAACCAAAACGCCCCTTCACCTCTTCCTCCCCTCCCTCCCCATAACCAAAACGCCCCTTCACCTACCCCCTCTTTTTCTCCACAGGTCAAGGCCGAGCTGCAGCAATGGGGCCTCGACTTCTCCCAAGTCCTGACCAAGGTCCGTGGACGCGTCTTGCCCGGAGAAATGGTCATGCAGTCGTCTCACTCCTTCGTGTACCAGAGTTCGGAACCCGACTGGGGCAAGGACATTAAAGGTAAGGGGGGGGGGGGGTGGAGAAGGGGAAGGGAGGGTTGAGGGGAGTAAGTGAAGGGGGGGGAGGGGGAGGTGGAGGGAGAATTGGAGAAAGAAAATGTGAAAATATGGGAGTGGAGGTGATGGAGTTGATAATGAGTGATAGTAATGATGATGATATTAATGTGGTGATTATGGTCATTATGATGATAGTAGCGATAAGGGCAGGGATAACAGTAATAATTATAATAACAATAGTAATGGTAATGATAATATTAATAATGATGATAATAATGATAATATTAATAATGATGATTATAATGATAATATTAATAATGATGATGATAATGATAATAATACTGATAATAAAGATAATTTTGATAAGGATATTCATAACATTAATAATAATAATAATAATAATAAAGATAGTAATACTGATAATAATGATCATTATTATTAGCATAATAATAATGATTATGATAATAATAACAACCACAACCACTTACCACCATCCTTCCCCCCTCTTCCCCACGCCCACCTCCACCACCCCTCCCCAACACACCCACCCCTCCACCCCACCCCCCCCCCACCACTGAACCACTCCTCCCCAACCCCTCCCCTCCCCCACCACCCCCAACCCCTCCCCACCCCCACCACTGAACCACTCCTCCCCAACCCCTCCCCACCCCCACCACTAAACCACTCCTTCCCAACCCCTCCCCTCCCCCACCACCCCCAACCCCTCCCCACCCCCACCACTAAACCACTCCTCCCCAACCCCTCCCCTCCCCCACCACTGAACCACTCCTCCCCAACCCCTCCCCTCCCCCACCACCCCCAACCCCTCCCCTTCCCCACCACTGAACCACCCCTCCCCAACACACCCACCCCCACCCCTCCACCCCTCCCTCACCACTAAACCACTCCTCCCCAACCCCTCCCCTCCCTCAATACCCCCAACCCCACCCCACCCCCACCACTGAACCACTCCTCCCTACCCCAACACCCCTACTCTTCCTCCCCACCCCCACTACCCCAACACACCCCTCCCCACCCCCACCACTGAACCACTCCTCCCCATCGCAGACGTGCCGGTGAACGTGGCCCAGAACGTAACGAACTGGGTACTCGTCGTTCCGGTGCGTCTACGAAGGGAAGCGGAGGAGCTGATGGGGGGACTGAAGAAAATCGGACGAGCTCTTGGTATCACCTTCAATAACCCGACTCTGTGAGTTTTCTTTGTTTTTTTTTCTCCTTCTGCTGGGCTTGTTTTTTTATTGATTTGTTTGTTGTTTGTTTTTCCTTCGCTTTTTTTGTAGGAGTGATTTTTTTTTTGAAAGATTAGTTTGAGTTTTATTTTTTATTTCATTTTTTATTTTTTGGGGGAGGTTGTGTTTTTTCTTTTCTTTTCTTTTCTCTCTCTCATTTGTTTTTATATCTTGTTTTGTTTTATTTTTGATTGGTGTGATTGATTAATATATATATATATATTTTTTTTTTCAGGTTATGGTGTTTCTTTCTTTCGTTTTTCTGTCTGTTTTTGAGATTGGTGTTTTTTGAGGATGTTATTTTGTTTGATGATGTATTTTTTTCTTTCTTTCTTTTCTTTTCAATTTTTTTTTTTTTTTGATGATCATTTCTGTGATTGTGTTATAAAATTATAAAACCTGTTCGTGTTCGTTCGTGTTGTGACTTGTTCGTGCTTGTTTCTTTATTTGTTTCTTTATTTGTTTGTCTGTTTTTTTTTTATCCCGGCACGTGAGTTCGTGTTTTTTGTTGTGATTTGCTGTTTTTCCTCCATTTGTTTGTTCGTTTGTTCTTGTTTTTGTTTTATGAATATGTTCAGGGATCTTAGCATTTGTATTTATTTTTTATTGTTGTTTGTTTGCTTATTTATTTTTTTCTTGTTTCTTTAACTTGGTCAGTAATCCTATCATGTGGGATCGTTTTTTAAATCTCGCTATATTTTTGTCTGTTGTTTCGCTTTTTGTTTTTGTTTTGTTGTTGTTTTGAAATTTGTTTAATAATCCTTTTTTGTACAGACCTGTTCATCTGTTGCCTGTAAAGTTCATTCATTTATGTTTGTCGTCTTTTATTAAATATTTTAGGTTCGTATGTTTGTGTCGTATTTGTTCATCGTAGTGTTCAGTTTAGACGTTTTGCTGTTCATTTTTAGAACTAGTTTTTTTTAGAACCCTTGCCCCTCCCCCCCTTCCCCTCACCACCTCCTTCACCTCCCCCCCCTTTCTCCAGTTTCTTCCTTTCCCCTCTTTCTTTTCCTGTTCGCTCCTCCCTTTACATCACCTCCCTCCCCCCCATCTTACTATCCCTCCCCATTTTCTTTCTCACTCCTTTTTCTCCACTTCCCCTGCATCGCAGCTTCCCATCTCCTTTCCTCATTTATCCCCGTTCTTCTCCCTCCTCCTCCTCCTCCTCTTCCTCTTCTTCCTCCTCTCCCTCCTCCTTCTTCTTACCCCCTCTCCCTCCTCCTTACCACTTCTCCCTCCTCCTCCTCCTCCTCCTCCTCCTCCTCCTCCTCTTGCTCCTCCTCCTTACCCCCTTTCCCTTCTTTTCTCCCTCCTCCTTACCGCTTCTCCTTCCTCCTCCTCCTCCTCCACCATTCCCCTCCTTCCACCCCCCTACCTACTATCTCCCCCCCTCCCACTCCCTCCCCCACAACTCCTCCCTCCCCACTATTCCCCCTCCCCCTCTCACCCCCTCCCCCCCCTAAAAAATAGAAAAAAATGTTAAACATGTCATTTGTATTAATAAGAAAATCACGAGTTTTTGTTTTCATTTTTGTATGTGTGATGAAAATGACAAATAAAATAATATTTTGATGAAAATGACAAATAGAATAATATTTTGGCTTCGGTTTTTCACATTCACCCCCCCCCCCCCCCGGTTACGAACCACTACTCTAACCTCTCCTCTTTTCCTCCCGCTCCCCCCTCCCCCCCTCCCCCCTCTCAGCCAGCTCCTGCAGCAGGACACGGCGCAGGACTACATCCGCGCCCTCAGGAACTGCAACGCCGTGCAACTCGTGGTGTGCATCCTGCCCAACGCGCGCCTCGACCGCTACGCCGCCGTCAAGAAGCACGTGTCCGCCATCATGGGCACGCCGTCGCAGGTGTGTGTGTGTGTGTGCGTGTGTGTGTGTGTGTGTGTGTGTGTGTGTGTGTGTGTGTGTAAGTGTGTGTGTGTGTGTATGTAAGTGTGTGTGTGTGTGTGTCTGTGTGTGTGTATGTATGTATGTGTGTGTGTATGTGTCCTTGTGTGTGTGCGTGTATACTAGTCATACACACTAGTCTTATATCCCCCCCCCCCCCCCACCAGATGGTCCTCGCCAAGAGCATGCAGAACAAAGCTCGTCAGGTCAGCATCCTCCAGAAAATTGTTCTTCAGATCAATTGCAAGCTCGGAGGAGAAATCTGGAACCTTCAGATACCGTTCCAGGTGAATTACATTTATTTATTTATTTATTTATTTATTCTTTACATCCTTGCTTTGTTCTTTCTGTTCTCTCTCTGCTTTCAATGTTTCCTCCTTCTCCTCCTCCTTCTCCTTCTCCTCCTTCTTCTCTTTCTCCTCCTCCTCCTCCTCCTCCTCCTCCTCCTCCTCCTCCTCCTCCTCCTCCTTCTTCTCCTCCTCCTCCTCCTCCTCTTCCTCCTTTTCCTCCTCCTCCTCCTCCTCCTCCTCCTCCTCCTCCTCCTCCTCCTCCTCCTCCTCCTCCTCCTCCTCCTCCTCCTCTTCCTCCTCCTCCTCCTCTCCCGTCTTCTCCTCATTTACCACCTCATCCTCTTTCTTCTATTATAATTCGCTGTCATAATGATATGACAATGAAATTTTAACGAAAGCTGATGATGCTAACAATAATATTGATGAGCGTAATAATAATGATAATAACAGTCATGGTAATGCTAGTGATAAAAGTAATAATAATAAAAATGATAATAATAATAATAATAATGATAATGATAATGATAATGATAATGATAATGATAATGATAATGATAATGATAATAATAATAATAATAATAATAATAATAATAATAATAGTAATAATAATAATAATAATAATAATAATAATAATAATAATAATAATAATAATAATAATAATAATAATAATAATAATAATAATAATAATAATAATAATAATAATAATAATAATAATAATAATAATAATAATAATGATAAGGATAATGATAATAATAATAATAGTAATAGTAATGATAATAATTATGATGATAAGAATGAGGATGATAATAATAAGAAAGATAGTCATCATCTTCATTATCATTATCATTGTTATTATTATTACCATCTTCATTATTGTCACTATTAGTAAGAGTAATATTTCAAAAAAAAAAAAAAAAAAAAAAAAAAAGGCAGGGATAAGGAAATACCATCGAAATAAAACAATAGTAACAATGCCAACATTTTCACAAGTATACTTCTTATATCGACAACAACAACAGCAACAAGAATAACAACAACAGCAATAATAACAACAATACTAATACCCTCCCAACAATACTAGCAACAAAAACAACAAAAACAACAACAGTAATAACAGCAATAACAACAACAACACTAATACCCTCCCAACAATAATAGCAACAAAAACAACAATAACAACAACAACATCCATCCAACAATAACAGCAACAACAACAACAACAACAGTAATACCAATACTAACAACCTCTCCTCTCCTCCCCCCCCCCCCCCCCCCAACACCACAGAACACCATGGTCGTGGGTTATGACACCTACCATGACAGTGCCAGAAAGGGTGCCTCATGGGGCGCCGTGGTTGCTTCATTCAACAAGAACCTGACACGTTACTACGGCCAGGTGTTACGTCACGCCAACCAGGAGGAGCTGACTGCGAATTTCTGCACGGCTATCCAGAGTGGGTGGATGGGTGTTGGGTGGATGGGTGTGGATGGGGTGGAGAGGGTGGAGGGTGGAGGGTGGGGGAGGGTGGGATGGAGAGGGGGAAGGGGTAGGAGGAAGGAGTGGGTGGAGGGGTGTTGGGTAGTGTGTTGGGTGGATGGGTGTATGTGTGGATGGGGTGGAGTTAGGTCGGTGGATGATGGGGTGGAGAGGGGGGAAGGGGTGGAAGAAAGGTGGAGTGGGTGGATGGGTGTGGATAGTCTGTTGGGTGGATGTGTGTGTGTGTGGATGGGTTGTAGAGGGTGGAGGGGGGTGTGGGGAGGGGGAAGGTGGGATGGAGAGGGAGGAAAGGGTGGAGTGGGTAGATGGGTGTGGGTAGTCTGTTGGGTGGATGTGTGTATGGGGAGGACAGGGTGGAGGGTGGGGTGGAGAGGGGGGAAGGGTAGGAAGAAGGTGAAGTGAGTGGAGTCGGGTGATGGGGAAGTAGGGTGGGTGTGTGTGTAAGGGGGGGTGGAGTTGTTTCGATTCTGTGTGTGTGTGTATATGTGTGTGTGTGTGTGTGTGTGTGTGTGTGTGTGTGTGTGTCGCTCTCTCTCTCTCTCTCTCTCTCTCTCTCTCTCTCTCTCTCTTATCTCTTTATCTCTTTATCTCTTTATCTCTTTATCTCTCTCTCTCTCTTTCTCTCTTTATCTCTCTCTCTTCCTCGCTCCCTCCTTCCCTCCCTCCCTCCCACCATTTTAGCCAAAGTACCTTATCCATATTTTGTTCATCTCCCCTGTCCGTTATTTTACCCAGTACTCACTATCTATGATTTTATCCATTCATTTATCCATCTACCCTGTCCATTGTTTTTGCCAATAGACACTATCCATCATTTTATCCATCTACCCTTTTCTATTATCATTACATCCCTAATTCTATCCATCCATCCTATCCATAATGCCATCCACCCATCCAATCTATCTATCCATCTACCCTATCCACCCACTTTAATCCAATTTCTGTCCAGTCGTCATATCCATTTACCTATCCTATCCACTACATCTATCCTATTCACCCATCACAGTCCAATCTATCTAATCTATCTATCCAATCCATCTAATCCATTTATCCAACCAAATATATCCAACCCAATCCACCCAGTCTATCCAATTCAGTTCATCTAATCCATCTATCCAATCCATCTGTCCAAACAATCCAATCCACCTAATCCATCTTTCCAATCAAATATATCCTATTCAGTCCACCCAATCTATCTAATATATCCAATCTATTCAATGTGTGCAATCCAATCGAACCCAATCCAATCTATCCATCCAATCCAATAAAAAAATCTATCCATCCAATCCAATTAATCTAATCTGTTCAATCTATCTATCCAATCCAATTTATCCATCCAATCCAATCTACCCAATCTTCTCAATCTTTCCAGTCTATCTATCTAATTAATCCAATCTACCCAATTAATCCAATCTATCCAATTAATCCAATCAATCCAATTAATCCAATCTATCCAGTTAATCCAATCTACCCAATCTACACAATCCAATCTATCCAATTAATCCAATCTACCAAATTAATCAAATTAATCCAGTCTATCCAATCTACCCAATCTACACAACCCAATCTATCCAATCTACCCAATCTACACAACCCAATCTATCTATCCAATCCAATTAATCCAATCCATCGAATCTACACAGCCCAATCTATCCAATCTATCAAATTAATCCAATCTACCAAATTAATCCATTCTTTCCAATCTATCCAATCTATCAACTTAATCCAATCTCTCCAATCTCTCCCCAGACTCCCTGTGCCACTACGCCGAAGTCAACGGCTGCCTGCCCGAGCGCGTCCTTGTCTATCGCGACGGCGTGGGCGAAGGGCAGCTGGCGTACGTGAAGGGGACGGAGATAGCGGCCATCAAGGTACGTGTACGTGTTTGGGGTGGGAGTGGGGGGGTGAGGGGGGGAAAGGAGGAAGGGGTGGGGATTTGGGAAGGGAGTTTTTCTGGTGGTTGTATAGTGTGTGTATATGCATGCGTGTGTATGTGTGTGTGGTGTGTGTGTGTGTGTGTGTGTGTGTGTGTGTGTGTGTGTGTGTGTGTGTGTGTGTGTGTGTGTGTGCCCTGTGTTGGTACCTGCGTGTGTGTGTTAATTATGTGTGAAAAAGACCGTCGAGCTTTCCCCCCCCCCAAAAAAAAAAAAAAAAAAAAAAAAAAAATAATAATAATAAAAAAATAATAATAATATAGTAAAAAATCGAAACTTCTAACCCCATCTCTCTCCCCCCCTTCCCCCTCCTTCCCCATCCCTACCCCTCCCCTAAAACCCCCCCAGGCTTGCTTCGCCGCCAACCAGTTCTCTCCGAGGTTCAGTTTCATCGTGGTGAGCAAGAGGATCAACACGCGCCTCTTCGCCCAGGGTTCGCGTTCGGGGAATCCCATTAATCCGCCGCCTGGGACCGTCTGCGATGACGTCATCACGTTGCCAGAAAGGTTGGGTGGGATCAGAGCGTATTTCGTTTTTATTTTTATTCGTTTTCGATTCTGGTATGTTTTGCTTTGGGTTAGTTTTGTTTGTTTTGTTTGTTTTATATGTTTGGTTTGCCTCCGTATATATATATATATATATATATATATATATATATATATATATATATATATATATATATATATATATTTTTTTTTTTTTTTTTTTTAAGATCGTATTTCATTTATTTCAGTTATTTTAATCATTGATGTATTTATTTATTTAATCTATTTTTGTGTAATTTGTATGTTCCATTTATCTTATTTCTTTCATCCTTTTTTTTATTTC